GGTGCCTATCTATGGACTACAGCATTCACACACAATTTCCCTTTTTGAAATATTTATCCTCCAGGGTTTTGACATACTCGTTTACTGGGTATTCAATATGGCGATGTTTTCTTCTTTCAATATGCATTTAATACGTGGTAGAGTCACGCTGCAGTTATATTATGGTAGTACCTTGAATGGGTCGGCTTGACCGGGGAAGGAACACACTCCTACAGAAAGGTAGCATAAAATAGCAGTTTAATGCTGTATAGACAACCTAAGATCATTTAAAAAAATATTACTGAAATCGAGGCATTCCATCTTAGTCCTAGGGTGATAACGCGTCTGCATTTTGATTCTTAACTGAGGACAGAATTTAAATGTCACCCTTGTTTTACAAAAAAAGTATTTTTGCTTAGAAAAATATAACTTCATTTCCTTCTTATTAGAATCACTCGACGTAATTACAAACATTATCAGAAGTAAATGTAAAAAGGCTTTAAGAAGAACTGCGAGGGCTTGTATTCTTGGTGCTTAACGGGTAGTTTGCAGCTTTGTTGACGCGCGTTCATAAATTCGCATGACTGCGCGCGTAGTCGTAGTAGTCGTTGTGAGCAAAATAGTAACTTGTTACTCAGTCGCTTATCCTGGATTCGAATCACAAGCTTAAAAAACTGCGAAATAACACAATTTGTAGATGATTTTTAATTATTCCCATCTCTCTGTGGCTTCAATTTCGATAGTTTATGCTTTTGTAGATACGGTTACCTTAGTAAGTTAAATTCTAAGATAAAAATATTTTACCGCGTTTATTTTTTACCAGCGATCCGCCCCGGCTACGTCTGGATAAGATCAGTTTTTTTTTTTTATAGGATAGGGTGACAAACGAGCACACAGTCCACCTGATGGTAAGTGGTTGCTGTGGACCATAGACATCTTTATCTATCTTCGTTTGCAAATCCAAATGCAGATGCGTTGTCACCCGTGAGGACTAAGATGGATTGCCTCTTTTCCAGTAAAAAGGGTATCCGGTTCTCTACGATCAACATACGAAACACAGCAGTTTTAAGCTACTATTTTACGCTGGTATTCTGTGAGAGCGTGATCCTTTCTCGGTAGAGCCGACCCATTCGTGCTAAAACTATACTACTGATATACCTGCAGCATGGCTCTACCACGTAAATAGTACGCACATATTATAGAGTTAACAAATGGATTCATTTGTTAACTCTATATTAATTCTTCGTAAATGTACACGTCTAACAAAGCTTACCGTCAGTTAAGCACTAAACGTTTGGCCTCGACCGACGATCAGGACGTACCGTCAGCGTGTACGGTACGTGCTGACCGAATCGGTCGAGCACTAAATCCAGCCTAACCTTCGTGTAGTTGTCCGCGGTCTCCCTAAAGAGCTGGTGACTGAGAACATATTAAACGACCTCAAAGCGCAAAATCTCCCGGTCCGGGAGCTGCATAGAGGGAAATGACTTCCCTATCTTTGACTATTGGCTCATCATTACAGCCTTTCATAAGTCCACTGCTGAACATAGGCCTACCCCAAGGCATGCCACAAAGCACGGTCCTGAGCCACCTACATCCATCGACTTCCTGCATGTCTTACCAGGTCGTCACTCCATCTCGTGGGGGGCGCCCTACACTTCGCTTACCGGTACGAGGCTGCCACTCGAGAACCTTTCTTCGCCATCGGTTGTCTTGCTTGGTTGGTTGTCCCCACTGCCACTTCAGCTTACTAATCCGTTGGGCTATGTCAGTCACCCTGGTTCTATTGCGGAGATCCTCATTTCTAAGTTTATCACGCAGAGAAACTCCGAGCATAGCCCTCTCCATAGCTCGCTGAGCGAACTTGAGCTTCCTCATACGGCCAGCAGTGAAGGACCACGTCTCAGATCCGTAAGTCATCACTGGCAACACGCACTGGTTGTACAATTTCATTTTAAGGTTTTGAGGAATGTCTGACGAGAAGATGTGTCGTAGTTTCCCGAACGCTGCCCAGCCGAGTTGAATCCGTCGATTGATCTCTCGGTCGAAGTTGGACTTACCTAGTCGGACTATTTGTCCCAGGTAAACATACTCGTCAACAACTTCGAGCTTAGTGCTCCCAACAACTACCGGCATGGGTGTGACATGGACATTGAACATGATCTTTGTTTTGACCATGTTCATCTTAAGACTTATCCGTTGGGAGACACTATTGAGGTCATTGAGCATGGTGCTTAGATCCTCCAGCGATTCTGTCATAAGGACTATATCGTCGGCAAATCGAAGGTGAGTGATGTACTCGCCATTTATGTTAATACCGTATCCTTTCCAGTCCAGAAGCTTGAAAATGTTTTCCTATGCAGCGGTGAAGAGTTTCGGGGATATAACGTCACCCTGTCTTACACCTCTCTGCAATTGGATAGCTTTCGTACTCTGGTTCTGTACTCGGATAGCCATTGTAGCCCTACTGTACAAGCACTTCAGTACTTCGATATACCGACAGTCAACTTGGCACCGCTGAAGGGACTGCAGTACCGTTCAAATTTCGACGGAATCAAAGGCTTTCTCATAGTCCAGATACGCCAGGCAAAGTGGCAAATTGTACTCCTCGGACTTCTGTACAACTTGCCGAAGGGTATATATGTGGTCTATGGTGCTAAAGCCCTTTCGGAAACCGGCTTGTTCGGGAGGCTGGTAGTCGTCAAGTCAGCGCGCTAGAAGATTCGTAGTGACTATTGAAAACAGCACGTAGACGCGGCTCAGAAGGGAAAATCGGTCTGTAGTTCTTCAAGAGAGCGTTGTCACCTTTCTTGAAGAACAAGACCACCGCACTTCTGTTCCACGCCTCCGGTGTAATGCCACCATGGAGGACGGAATTAAAGAGCCTCTGAAGGACTTCAAGTACAGGTTTTCCACCCACTTTCAGAAGCTCCGCTGTAATTTCATCCTCGCCTGGGGCCTTGCCGTTTTTAAGATGCTGGAGAGCCATTCTAATCTCGCTCAGACTGACGTCGGGGATATCTTCGGAATAGTGTCGGATAAGACTCGCTCTTGGATCGTTACTCACACTTGCGTGTGGCTCCAACGATGACGTGTACAGCTGCCCATAGAACCTCTCAATCTCACTAAAAATCTCAGGTGCCGCGGAAACGATACTGCCACACTCGGTCCTCAGCTTTGGCAGTTGGCTCTTTCTGGCAGACAGATCTCTGGCAAAGACTTTGGAGCCTTGGTTCCGCTCGATCGCGTCTTCAATACAAGCTGTATTGAAGTTGCGTAAGTTCCGCCGAATGCATTTGGAGATCTGTCTGTTCTGTTCTGCCTATATGCTGTCAAATTTGTTCAAGAATGTAGCTTCATCTCCCGTCTAATAGCCATGAGATTAAGATTGTGATCGGAGAGTTTTTGTGTACTTCTGCGGCGGGTCTTGCAGAACTTAGCTCCGACCACATGGACAGTTTCCACGAGCTTGTTATTCATATCGTCCACTTCATTGCAGTTTTTTAGGCACTGAAAACGGTTTTGTAACTCGAGCTGAAAGGTTTCAGGACTTTGGAACAGAGCACGAGGGGGACGGAGCGTTGATTTCATTAGACGAGACCTCTCCAACTTAACGTTTAGGTTCAGTGTGCCTCTAAACATTCGGTGATCGCTACCAGTTTTCATCCTCGCGATCACGGAGACATCACTGAACAGTTGTCGTCTGGTCGTCATAATGAATTCAATCTCATTTTTTGTCGAACAGTCGGGGCTCGACCAGGTCCACTTCCTGTGGGGCCGCTTCTGGAAGAAAGAGTTCATCATAAAGTTAAAAAATCCTCTTTCTCCATGAAGTCGGCCAGCTGCTGGCCCCTTGGTTTCCGTTGCCCTATTCCGAATTTCCCTACTTTTAGCTCACCGTTCTCTCTTGTGCCTAGTTTTGCATTGAAGTCTCCCATTAACACCGTATATTCGGTTTTGGAGGAATGCATGGCTCGAGAGAATTCATCTCATCTCATACATTTCCTCCACCTCCTCATCGGGGTGTGCCGAGGTTGGTACGTAAACCTGTATGACCTTCAGCGCATACCGTTTGGTGATTCTGAGTATAAGGTACGCAACCCTCGTCAACACACTCTCAATCTTTACAACGTTGTTAACGAGAGACTTGTGGACGATAAATCCGACACCTCCTTGGGACAGATGGTCGCCCTCCCGGTGATAGAGCAAGTTGCCAGATTCGAGGATTACCGTGTCCTCCCCCTCTCTTCGGACTTCGGATAATCCTATAATATGCCAGCGTAACTTGTCTATCTCTTCTTCCAGCTCCACGATCTTCTTGTCAGTCCTCAGGGTGCGTGCGTTGTATGTTGCCAGGTCGAATCGTCTTAGGTGGCAACCGAACCTCCCCCGGAGATTCTTAGCACTCCCTGCCCCGCCGTTACCATGGTCGCCACCGTAGCCAGGAATAGCGGGGCCGCCGGGGACTGGGGGCCGTCTCTTTGTTACTCTCTTCATAGGGGGTATTTGCCATAGTTGCCACGCTTGGCGAGCGGGTTGGCAACCGCAGTTTTTTATTGTAATTTCGGCTACTATCAGGAAGATGCTGCTGCCCATCTCCTGCCTGTTTCCCTTTGTCGCCTTTTACGACACCCACGGGAAGATATGGGATAGTGGATATTCTTGACCGCCACTACACGGCGAGGAGACAAACGTGTAGTCTGACTATTGGCTAGTTAAAAATACATACGATTTTCGCATATAATAACTTCTGAGAAATGTAAGTCTTTCCACATGACTTAAATATCACGTCATTCCAATAAATCGACGAAGGTAACGCTGTCAGATAGCATATTCAGATCAAATTATCCCCATAACATATTCAGGTCTCATTAGAATTTTGCCAGACACCTTATTGAATATTGATGAAAAAATCAGTATAAATAGTCACAATTTTCCCATTAAAATGCATTCCAACCCCGCGAACCATCGGGAGTATATCGTGCCAAAGAATTAAAGATAATAAAATATACTATTTCACAATGAAAATACAAGTGTTGCTCCTTCTCACCATAATAGGGACAATCTCCATCGAATCAGGAAACAGTCAGCGCATCGTTCTTTGTGGCAGAAGACTGGCCGAAACCTTAGCTATGGTATGCGACAGTGGTACAATGATGAAGAAGTCGGTTTCAAACTCGATCCAGGAGTACAAATACGGTTGGCAATGGCTGGCACCGCGAGTAGCTCACAGTTTTGGCCAACCCAGAGGTAAGAGAGGTATTGTCAGTGAATGCTGTGAGAAGTCGTGCTCCCTTGAGGAACTCCTGACCTACTGCTAGACATATAATACAAGATAACTGTTGACCAATGAATAAAGGCTTTGAGATGTTTCACTTGCTTTGTTTCACTGATAAATAGCCTGTTTTTTTTTTTTATTTTAAACTTACGTAGTATTTTGTCTATGTTTGAAACGCAATTGTGAAAAGTCTATGAAGATTTAATTTAAGAAAAATCCAGCAAGTTTAGAAGCAACGCATCCACGTAGTATTGGACACGGAGGTAAAACATAGTCGCGGTACAAAACCGAAACTATACTCCTCGGCTATTTGTATGATCTCTTTTCGAACGACGCCGTGTTCTTCATGCAAGAGCTCGATATGAAATATTATTTGTAATATATGAATCATAAGAGTAATGAATATGTGGTTGCAGCGCTACAAGCCACTGTTTCAATTTACGCTCAGAACAAGCTATATGGTCCAGAACTAAGAGGGGGAAAACAAGCATACGGTTGACCTGGTAGTATGTAAATACCGCCGCCCATGAACAACTGCAACACTAGTAAATTCGGAGGAATGTTAGCGGTCTTTCAAGAATCAGACTATATTCTTGAACGTCTTGAAGTCTTATAGACTAGATAGAAAGTAATCATATGCAGAAGAAAACTATTCTTATTGTGGAGAAATTCCTGATGTTACGTTAGACATTTTAAAGAATAACTAAATTCTTCATATGTGATAATATGATCATTATTAAATAAACTTATGAATATTACAGTGTTAAATAAATTAATATGCGGCCATAGAATTCACCGTAATAGAGCCTTCAAATAAATAACGCGACCCCTGCGGTCAGACCCGGTGGTCCAAGATTGCAACGGAAAGCCTTAATAATAGTAACCTATACTTTGTAATCCGTATGTGTAGTTTCATAGATTAATTAAACTTGATTAAATGTAATACAAAGATTGAAAAAATTACTTGTAACTAAATTTTATGTATAACAACGCTTAAATATGTATTAAAAGTTAGTAGCGTATAAAAATGTAGTTTTTTTTTCCTGTTCGCCATTCATAAAAGTACTTGATATTTGAATGACACCATTAAAAACAAAGCAATTTAATTTATTAGTCTTCTCTTCTATACTCATTGAATTATTCAAGATTTCACATTTAATAAAAACATTTATAAGGATTTTATCGTGTTTAATTGAAATATAATTACTACAGTATTTTTATTAGTAATAATATCTTAATAAATTCTTATATTTCAACGAACACTACACATAAAATTAAACATTCACACACAAACAACACAACAACACAACAAATTTTTACGGATTTATCGCTTTAAAATTTTTTTTTAAAGTTGCGTTTAATTTAAAATCACCAATATTCCAAACGGATTTTGATCTAAACTTGTAATAAATCATGAGGAAGATTTTATTTTACTTTATATTGGCTTCACAAAAAACTGTCATGTTATATTTGGATAAATTTTAAAGAAATTCTCGCTGCGCGTTTGTAACTTGGACCAAAACCATAAACTATTTAAGTGTATTCATACTCTATAGTCATTAATTTACCACCTAACATCATTAAATTTCTGTCCCTGCTGTTTTTTTTAATTTATTTTAGCCAACAAGATAACATTAGAGTTTTTATGAATAATTACATCGTTAAACTGCTAATGCAGTTAGCAGAATCTTCTCATATCATCATTGATCAGTACGTAACTACTAACCAAGTTAATGTAATATTTAAAAATATTTATTTTAGACATAACCGTGACAAACGAACGCACAGTCCTTCTGATGGCAAGTGGATGCTGTGTTCCATAGACACCTACATCTATCATCTTAAGAATTAGAAGTGGTAAAGTTAAAAATTTTGTACAACCCATTTCAATATAAATTATTAAGCATCACTCAAAAACTATTTCTCATGTGATACTTATAAGGGATCACATGAAAAGTGCCAGCTTTCAAATAAAAAAAGAATCAACAAAATCGGTTCACATAGAAAAAAGTTATGAATTAAGTACCTCCTCCTTTTTGAAGTCGGTCAAGAATGCATCCATGCTGTACTCCTGAGAAATAAAATGAAATACATAATCACCAGTAAAAAAAGTATCCGGTTTTCTGCACTCGCCATTCGAAACAAAGCATTATTATGCTGATATTTTACGTTGGTATTACGTGATAGCGTGGTCATTCTCCGGTCATGCCGACCAATTCACGTTGCAGTCATAATACAACTGCAGCGTTTTCACAGAAAACTGAAGTGAAAAATGAATTTACAGTCTGTGCACAGTGACGGCTCCGTGGCGCAGTGGCTTTGCAATGAGTTGTTGCGCTGGGGACCGCGGGTTCGAATCCCGCACGGAACAAGTATTTGTATGGCCTACAAATAATTGTTCCGGGTCTGGATGTTTGTCCTTGTGCAATTGGACGTGATTATACAAAAAGGATCCAACCCTAAAGAAGAAAGCTAATTTGAGGTTATGAAATTTGACGAATGGATCTGTATGGTTTGTGTGTGTGTGTTTGTAATTTTTCTTCCTATTTGTGTTACTTTTGCTAAAATTGTTGCATTACATAATAGTATAGACCACAAACATTATTTTTCAACAGAACATTTTTGACACAAATTACATTGGACCCTTTTTGCATAAGTATGTCCAATTTATGTTCGTAAAACGCCTCCACAACGCAGGAGAAAATCCTAGTGTAACTTAAATAAAAGTTTACCTGATGATAAGTGGCTACTGCGATCCATGAACACCTACAACCAACTTCAAACAAAAAGCAAGCAGATGCGTTGTCACTTCTGACGACTGAGATGGGATACCTCACAGGTTCACAGACTGATATACTGACTCTTTTTAACCTTCAGAGCGCATCACAGCCGTCCACGCACTGCTGCTTGGTGGCAGAATCAGGTAAGAGGATAAGCTAATACCTAGTCAGACGGGCTTCTAGGCTGGCTCTCAGAAGCGATAACGCAACCGTAGAATTCTATGTCTGAAGATACCAACGTAAAATAGCAGCTTAACACAGCTGTGTTTCGTATTGTGAGTGTAGAGAACCGGAGACCCTTTTTACTGGAAATGAGGCATTCCATCTTAGTCCTCACGGGTGACGACGCATCTGCATTTTGATTCTTTATTGAGGAACGATGTGGAGAGTCATATGAGTCACACCAACCACTTACCATCAGTTGGACTGTGTGCTCGTTTGTCGCCCTATCCTATAAAAAACCTGACCTTTGAGTTATCCTTAATAATGCGTATTTAATTGACTTCGACTACATTGATATTGTTCTCATTTTATTTATATTACTCTCGGTTGTACAAAATTTTCGATTTTAGCACTTGTAATTCTGCTGCCCGTCGCCGGTCTGGGTGTTTTACGTCTTCCGTAAAATAAATGGTTATACCACCATCTGTCAGATGACATTTCGCATAGTCGCCGTTTACACCTTCATGTGACGAAATTTAGTGATGGATATCCTTACGTGCAACAACACTGCATTATTTCATACAATAGTATAAAAATTAAACAATGCGGAAGTTTATCGACCAAATTGGCGATATATAGAAGATGAGCCCAAATCAAGAATATTATTAACCGAGGAACATGTATGCGTAGGTCCATTACGCCAAATGGAAGTCTAAAGTTTCTGCTTACCCCTTTGGATGACAAGTGTGAGTATTCATGACATGTAGTATAAATATTATTATTAATATATATAAATATTATCAAACGATTAGTTTTTTCGGAATATTACCACCTGCTAAGACTCGAAAGTCAGTACCTGTGAAAACGTAGCGTAATGTAAAAGTGTAGTAATACACTTTTATATATAGTTCAAAGTTATATGTTCATTTGAAAAGTTCTTTATTTATTCTCCTAAAATAGAAGGATCACGACATCGTTACTCGTATAATAATTAAAGACGAATCTACATAATCTCTTGAATTTATTTTATATCTTCGTGTGATTGAAACACGGTACATTTTGGAATAACGTTTACACTGGAGATATGATTTCATAATTTAGGGTGTAATTAGTGAAGAGACTTCAAGTGTCGGTGTTACGCAACAGTTGTTTGTGAGTTGTGACTAATTATCGATATACAATCGACAACGTAATCGCATCTCAATCAATCATCTGTGTTCGTGGGATTTTATTCTTTAAAGCTTAATACGTACATACTATTATAACGGGGTAGCTTTTTTAAACGAGTAATTATATATGAATGCATGTATATACAATATAGTTTTATTTCATAATTTTAAATGTAGGAAATCTGAAGAAATTTATTCACGTTAATTGTTTTGGAGTTGAGTATTGATGTATAATTTGTTTAATTACTGCAAATTGCTCTTACTTATGTGAGTTTTGAAACACGTTTTGCATATATAGAGATATCGCTGTCACTAATACTATACATTATAACTATGTGTGTGTAAAATTGTTAGTTTATTGTTTTAATTGCTATGTGCAAGTTTCGTAGTGCCAGACGATTGATTTTGTGTGCGCAGATTTCTTCCCGCAAAAAGTGGCAGACAGTTCTGTATAGCAAAAAACGCTATGGCTACTACTTTCCGGTCCGCCGGTCGCCCGTGTCGCTCTAAGGCTGTAATGAATGAATACTGAATGTACACGTTTTACATATTATATAACTTTATGATCTCAAAATTTATAACTATTCAAATTAAACTTGAATCATTGTGAATATCATTTTGTTATTGTAATTTTTTTTTATATTGTAGTTGGCAACCGCAGTTTTTTTTATTGTTGTTTTGCTGTTATAAGAAAGATGCTGCTGCCAATCTTCTGCCTCAGTTTCCCTCTGTCGCCTCTTACGACACCCACGGTAAGATATTATAGGGTAGTGGTTAGTGGTCCACGTGTAGTGGCGGTTTCTTATCCGTAACTTCGTTCGAGTAAAACAGAATTAGACTTTTAATAGGGATTGAACTTTTAAATGTAACTGAAAAAGAATATGCCATCAAAAACATAACTTGTAAAAAAAGACACCAAGTCTCGCAACTCA